TTTATTCCACCATCCAGAGTTGACCAGATGCCTTGGTTGGGCTCTTACAGGCAATAGCTTGCTTGATGGACATGAACGCCTTGCTGGACAGATTCCACAACTACATCCTGCCGCACCTGAGGGGGGAGGACCGAGTTTGTCACTGCAACTGCGGGAGGTGAGTGAGCTGGTCCCTCTCACCTGTCCTGCCCCTCCATCTCCCCCAGCCCCAGCTCCCCGGGAAGGCACAGGGAGGTGCTGGTTCCCAGCTCTGCGTCCTGCCCGGCTCCCCCCTCCCCGGCAGCTCCTGCAGGAGCACAGGGGTTGGTTTTGTTGTGCTCGGTTGGTTGTTTTTCCTGGATGAGGAGTTTCCCCGTGGGCCTGGAGGTCCCTGCTCCTTTGTGTGCACGCCTGGGCACCTGCAGCTCTGAGCCCTGGGGGAGTAACTTTGATTTAGGTGGTTGTGGTCGATGCCTTTGCTTTGGGTTGTTTTCTCAGGGTGTTTGTGGCCTGGGTGCTGCAGTTGGTGGTTGTGTGGCTTCAGTGGGGCCTGGGGAGGCCCCGCGGCCCTGCCCGGTGTCACTCTGGGGCTCTGCAACCCTTGATCAGCTCTTCATTCTCTGCGGTTCTTTCTCCCGGGAGTCGTAAAGATGCTGGACGGGGCAAAGTGAAGTGCTGCTCTGGTGGTTTAGTGAGCTGAGAGGGAGGATTTTATGCCAAGAGTGATGCCTGTGCTGTGGACAGGTTGATGGCTGGACAGGGGCCTCCTTCTCTTCATGGCCGGTTGGCAGAGCTTCCCTCTCCCAAACCACAGGGTTCCTGTGCCACGTGTGAGGGCTGAGGGGAACCTGCTCTTTGGGTGCTCTCTGTGCCACAGCCTGGGGGCCTGAGCTCTGGGGAGGGGGATTTCTCTCCAGTCCATGGGGCTGCTGGCAGCCCCCCTGTGCTCCTGGAGGCCTCGTGCCCCTCCTGTGCCTGGGCCTGCTGGAGGGTTTCTTGTCTGTGAGGGAGCCAAGCAGCATCAGGCTGGGCCAGCTAAAGGACATGAGGCCTCCCCTGCCACATCCAGCGTTTAGTTTGAGCTTGGCTCCTCTCTGAGCTGCCTCTGGAACCAGCTGCACCCTTTCTCCCAGGGGTCACATCCCTCTGGGATGTCCCTGCTGTGCAGCTGGAGCTTCATGGTGGGAAGCAGCTTTGCCCTTCCACAGCCTCACCCAGGGTGATCACTGCCTTTCTGCCCGTGGTTCCTCCTCAGGCTCCTGTGGCAGAACAGCAAAGAAGGCACAAGCAGCACCTCTAGGGCCAGGCCCTGAGGGACCCAGCAAGCAGAGCCCACATTCCTGGCTCCTTGGGCACCTCCACGTTGGGAAGACGAGAAATGTCTGTGGTGGCTTTGACTTCTTTATGGCAGGGTTTGGCTTTTTCTTAAGTAATTTTTTTCTAGTCTTCCTTTTGTTTTTCCACCGTGTGCACGCCTGGGCACCTGCAGCTCTGAGCCCTGGGGGAGTAACTTTGATTTAGGTGGTTGTGGTCGATGCCTTTGCTTTGGGTTGTTTTCTCAGGGTGTTTGTGGCCTGGGTGCTGCAGTTGGTGGTTGTGTGGCTTCAGTGGGGCCTGGGGAGGCCCCGCGGCCCTGCCCGGTGTCACTCTGGGGCTCTGCAACCCTTGATCAGCTCTTCATTCTCTGCGGTTCTTTCTCCCGGGAGTCGTAAAGATGCTGGACGGGGCAAAGTGAAGTGCTGCTCTGGTGGTTTAGTGAGCTGAGAGGGAGGATTTTATGCCAAGAGTGATGCCTGTGCTGTGGACAGGTTGATGGCTGGACAGGGGCCTCCTTCTCTTCATGGCCGGTTGGCAGAGCTTCCCTCTCCCAAACCACAGGGTTCCTGTGCCACGTGTGAGGGCTGAGGGGAACCTGCTCTTTGGGTGCTCTCTGTGCCACAGCCTGGGGGCCTGAGCTCTGGGGAGGGGGATTTCTCTCCAGTCCGTGGGGCTGCTGGCAGCCCCCCTGTGCTCCTGGAGGCCTCGTGCCCCTCCTGTGCCTGGGCCTGCTGGAGGGTTTCTTGTCTGTGAGGGAGCCAAGCAGCATCAGGCTGGGCCAGCTAAAGGACATGAGGCCTCCCCTGCCACATCCAGCGTTTAGTTTGAGCTTGGCTCCTCTCTGAGCTGCCTCTGGAACCAGCTGCACCCTTTCTCCCAGGGGTCACATCCCTCTGGGATGTCCCTGCTGTGCAGCTGGAGCTTCATGGTGGGAAGCAGCTTTGCCCTTCCACAGCCTCACCCAGGGTGATCACTGCCTTTCTGCCCGTGGTTCCTCCTCAGGCTCCTGTGGCAGAACAGCAAAGAAGGCACAAGCAGCACCTCTAGGGCCAGGCCCTGAGGGACCCAGCAAGCAGAGCCCACATTCCTGGCTCCTTGGGCACCTCCACGTTGGGAAGACGAGAAATGTCTGTGGTGGCTTTGACTTCTTTATGGCAGGGTTTGGCTTTTTCTTAAGTAATTTTTTTCTAGTCTTCCTTTTGTTTTTCCACCAGTTGAAGAGCTTTCCTCTGCTTTTCCTCTGCCTCCTCTTTCTACTTGTCACAGCTGTGCTCAGTCGTGGTGAAAACTGGCTGCTGGTGAGAGACTTGAACATCATCTGGAGTGACTGAGGAGCATCAGGAGGCAGTGGTGGTGTTGGCAGAGAGTCCCTTGTGCCCAAGTCTGAGAAGGTGGCTGGGGTAATCCTCTCTCCTCTAACTACATGTCTGCAGAGATGCTGTGGAGGCAGATGAATTACCCATGGCACTGTCCCCAGCCTTAGTTAGGTCATTTCTTAGAAAGTGCACAAAGCAGCTTCCAAATGGATCTGAGAGGAGGCAAAAAGCAGCAGCTGAGCAGGTGCCTTGGGTGTGATGGAGAAGCAGTGGCCCTTGGCAGCAGGAGCAGCCTGCCCTCCTGAGGGTGGGCTCCTGTGCACCAGTGTTGGTGTCAAGGTGTTCAAGCTCTGGTGTAGGAGACACTTGCACAAATCGTCCCTGTCCTGCGGGACCTTGCGTGGCCTCGTGTGTGACCCTCCCCTGCTCCCTGTGAGCTGGGACCTGCTGGGACCTCAGTGCTCTGAATCCTGAGATTTGATGCTGGGTGGTGCTGGTCCCAGGGCTCTGAGTGCACATCTCATGAGCTGTGAGTGGTTCTTGCACTAGGCAAGGATGTGTCCTGGAGCAGGTTGTGTCAGCTGTGGTACCAGGGATTGATAAAAGCCTCTTTAATTTGCCAATAACCAAAGGGTGTCCTGGGAGGAGGGAACTGGCTGCAGTTCAGGGAGTTGCAGACTGGGGAAAATTAGTAAATGTTGCAGAAATGGAAGGGAAGGAGGAACTGGGATAAATGAGGATTGATGTGCAATGGGCTGAGCTGCCACGATTACTGCTTTGCCCTCCTGCCCCAGCCAGGGCTGCAGTGTCAGTCATTCAGAAATGGTTTCCTTCCACTCTCCTATTCTGGTTGTCTCCTGCCTTGGGGTATCAGAGCAGATCCCTTCCCCAGGAATCATCTACCGTGTCCAAACACCCGGGGCTGGGCTGTGAGTACCTTTTGGCATCCAGTGATGATGCAGGATGCAGGATGAGCCCTTCAGAAGGCATCAGAAGGATCAGAGCTCCTGTTGGTGTGGGGGCTGGGAACTGCTGCCTTGCTGGTGGTGGCTGTGGACAGTGGGGGCCAACTCTGTGTGTCTCAGGTGCCAGCTGAAGCCAGGGGATCACCCCAGGGGATCTGGGGCTCTGTGTTGCTTCCCCTCCCCAGCCTCTCAGTCCCATCTCATCCCTGCAAGGCGCCAGGGACAAAGCCCAAACATTTTGGTGGCTCTAGGCTCACTGGGGTCACCTGGGTGCATGGCCAGGAGGACAGGCTCTTCTGGCTGTCTCCTCAAAGGGCTCTTCAGCTTGTGTGGGAACTGTGGCAGGGGTCTCACCTGGTGGGCAGGAACGTGTCCCCTCTGCCCTCTGCCTGGCCCAGGACAAGTGCAAGGCAGTGGTAGCTCATGGCTCCCTGCCCTCTCCTGCCTAAAATCCCTCTGCCAGCCCTGGCCTCATGAAGGAGCCTGAGTTCCCTCCATTTGGGGCTACACTTTGGGGTTTTTTTGTTATTTTTTCCCCATGTTGCTCAGTCCTTGGCGGGTTGGCAGTGACTGGGGAGTGTCCCTGGGGTCAAGGCATCTGGGGAAGAAAACCAGCCCCATCTGCAGGGGCTGCTGAGGGTGGGAGAGGTGGCACTGGGAGGGGGGGGCTGGTCTCCACTTTGCTCTGCACATCCCCGTGGCAGGAGGGTCCCTGGGGCAGCTGGGGGCTGCAGCCATTTCTTGGCACATTCTGCCAGGGGTTTGTTGAGGCAAGAGAGGTCCTGGCTGGTGCTTCTTGGGCGTCTGATGTCAGAAGAGGGTTGTGGCCTCTTACTGGGGGACAGGGGAGCTGAGAGGGAGCTCCTGTGGGTTCTGCTGTGGCCACAGGGCCTGGGCACCATGTCTAGCTGGGGGTGCCTGTCTGCAGGGAAACGGGGGGTCCAGGCTGGCAGGTATTTGGGGTCTGTTAAATGGCAACGTCCACTGAGAGACTCTGAGTGAGCCTGGGGTGGGCAGGGACTTGGCCAAAGGAGCAGTCCTGCCCCCAGAGCTGGGCTGGGGGGTCCTGAGGGCTGGGAGTGGGAGCAGATGTTCCCCAGGGGGGCTGCTGGGCTGGGGCTGCCCCACTCAGCCAAGGAGGGCAGAGCTGCCCATCCCAGGGCACCCAGGGCTGCTGGGAGGGGAAGGAGCCCTGGCAGCTGCTGGGAAGGGGAGCTGGTGGAGCTGGGGTGTGTGGGGGGAGAGCATCAGCAGGGAGACAGGGCTGCTCCTGGTGCCTCTGAGCCTGCACAGACACGTCTGGTGTGGCAGGGGCTGTGCCTCTCCCAGCCTCCTTGCTGCAGGAGGCAGGGGTGACAGCCACCTTCAGGCTCCTGTTGATGCTGTGCAGGAATGTGCCTGCTGGAGCAGATCCCTGGGGGAGTGTGTCCCTCTCTGCCCTCAGCATGTGGAGATATTGTCCAAATCCCTGGGCTGGGATCCCTGCCTGCAGGCAGCCCGGGCTCTCTGCTCCTGCCTCCTTGGGATGCCCCTGTTCCCAGGGGAACACAGAGAGGACTGCAGAGGTGCAGCACTGCCCC